CGGACACTTTTTCAAGCCGGAAACAAGCAGAAATGAAAAATTCAGGTTCTAAACTACAAGAATCAATCATAAAACCTTTGCCTGACGGGGGGTGCAGCCAAATTGGATTTTTTGGCCTTTGGCTCATGGACTAATAACACTATTCAAGTAATAAGCTATAAACAAAAAGAAGCTACCAACTATCTTGTTATTACATAAACTAAGCGTGCACTAAAATACAACATACATCTATGGTTTCTTCTGAGTTCAGAAGCATTTGATTGGCTCGTTCAATGTCGCGTTCCCGCTCTCTTAGAGACATCTTCAGTCCTCGAATCTCATTGTCTTTCTCTTCCAGAGCACGGAACTTTTCTTCAATGGCTTCCTGATATCAGAAAAATCTTGCTCACTGTTTTACAACTGATCTCTTTAATCCTATCATATCAATTTTCCAGGAGAAGCTCACCATACTTACTATGACCATTCTGCCAAATTCTTAAGAAAATTTGGAAAAAAATCAGACATACTATAGACTTGGTGAAAAATTAGACATTTGATTAATTCTAAAGCAAAAATGAAGAAGAAATGACTCCAGCTATATAGCATACTGGAAAACATTTACTACACACCACATGCTTAAGTATTCAAAGAAAAAATAAAAATTATTTAGCCACAAAGAAAATGAAAAAATCAAAATGCTAAAATCTACTATGAGATACATATTATATATATAAATGTAAGAACACTTGGATTCGATTTGACTTTAACAGCACACACACGCACACACCACTGTAATCCCAGAGAAAGGCAGTCAATACATTGTATTTTATGTAAGGTATTAACCAGAATATTTATGTAGATTTAGTCATATAAACCAGTGATGAATACCAGCATTGTATTGTGAACCATAATAGAACTAAGTGTTTTCATTTTCTTGTGTTGTCCATATATTTATCATGATTTTATATATATTTTTATGTAAAATTTACATTTTAAATATTAAATAATCATATCATACTATCAAATGAGGCCCATTTTACTCACTTCAACAGCCTTGTCTCTCTCAGCCAGCCTCTCTCTTAGCTTGCTAATAAGACTGTCTTTACTCTCAGATTTGGGCTAGAAGAGAATTTCACAATAATTTTAGTCACATTACGGCCTCAATCTGTGAAAGATCTCAGGTTGAGACCCTATCTTCTTTTAATTGCTAACTGTAAGCTCCAGAATTTGATTTATATACATATATCTCAATCTACTTCCCAGTTCTGTACTCACTGTGAGAGACTGCTCCTTGTCCAGATACTCCTGGAGCTGCCTGTCTTTCTCCTTCAGACTCTTGCTCAACCTCTGGATCACTTTCTCCTTGCTCTGTAGCTGTCTCTGGGCATCATCTGACAGCACCTGGAGAAAGACAGGTCCAAACATTGTCATATATGTGGTAATATTCCACAAAATATATGCAAGCATGAATCCAAAGCTAGGTATAAGTATAACCTTTAAATGTCTGGGGGTGTCAACTCATTGGTTGGTAACTTCCATTTTTTTGCAACTTTTTTCATGTACAATGGCCACTAATTGTTATTAGTTAGAAAGCTTCCAAGAATGTGACCACTGGCTTGTAAAAGTTTTAGTACATTTATACAGTAATGCTTTTAAAAACTTTTCATAATGTGCTTCCTGAAAACATCCAAAGATTTATATACACATCAGAATACTCACTATGTTGTCATTTTAATGTCTTCAGTGTCAAACCACCAGAGACAAGGTGAAAAAAGTTGAACACTTCTATTTAACAAATTTGTATACATTATTCTATACTGGTTTCATGGAAGAAATCACACTTTGGTCAAGACAGGAAGTTCTGGTGTACCTGGTATTGCTGTTCCTGGGCCTCCAGTTTGTCCACTCCTTTCTCCTTCTCTTCATGAAGCTTCTCTTGGAGATCCTGGACATAAATGAGGCAATTCTCATAATTTCAGGTTTACATTATACATCCTTACTTAGCAAACTTAAGATTAATGATATTCAACACCATTCCTTTATCCTGCATTTATTTTCTATTGATGATTTGGCTATGGAAAAGATGAAAGACAAAAGCTATTCCACATTTTTCAAACATTCCTTAATCTGGCTATGAAAAGTAAAGAAAAAATGGATGAATCTTTTCCAAAATTTTTACTTCTTTATCATAAATTTAACTAAAATATTTAATTTGACTTCAGAATTTTCCCAAATTTGCCAAAAACAAACAAACCAACCAACCAACAAACATAAACAAATGAAAAGCCAACCCAAAAGGCACACTTCTCACCACAACATCATTGCTCTACCTGTACAGATTCTTCCTTGTGTTTTATAACCTCGTCCAGTTTCTCCAGCTGTTCTTGAAGCCTTTCAATCTCGGAGGCCTTCCTTGCCAGGGACTTCTGGAGCTTTTGGTTCTCCAGATCCTTTATCTTGATGTCCCCCTCCATCTGAGCTATCTTGTTGTCTTTGTCTGAGAGCTGAAGCTGCTGGTCCTCCAGGCCCTGGTGGACATTGAGTTGAGAGTGAAAGCTAAGCAAGGGGAGAGAGAGAGAGAGAGAGAGAGAGAGAGGGAGAGAGAGCAAGAGAGAGAACGTGCACCTGCATGCGTGTGTGCCCGTGTATGCGTGAGAGAGAGAGTATTTATTCTCTGGTTTGTCAAATGTATGGAAACAGAAGGTCAGCACCCTGCCTTTATGGTTACAAGGAACTGTTACATAATTAAGGAAAAATATGTCAGCTGTGACAGCACGTCTCTTAATGGTGAAGATGTGTACAAAATCTCCCAGGAATGTGTTCTGACATGAGCAGTTCTTATGATGAATCTGACACTGTGCAAAGTGTGACACATTCTAATGTCAAAGGCAGTGTATTATTAATATACAGGACGTGATAGAGTGATCCATGTGATGAATTTGAAATGATTTTCATAGGACAAAACTGCACACGACAGACCTGGTATTTTTTCATGGTAGCAGCATGGAGCTCCTGCTTGTTCTGCTCCAACTCATCCTCCTTCTCTTCAAGCAGAGTTGTTAATTGCTGGATCTAAAATATAAAACAAGAAAATTATGCCAAAGTGTTCTTTATACTAGTGGGTGGGTTTATTGTGATACATACTTATTCACAAATTCTGGCAAAAGTCAACAAGTTATTTTTTGTATTGACAAACTTTACCTGTTTTTCCTTATCGTGGACAGTCTTCACCATACTTTGGACAGCCTTGTAACTTTTCTGCAGGTTTTCAGCCTCAGTCTTGCTCTCCTTCTGCAGCTGATGCAGTTGGTTTTCCAACTCCTGCATGACAAAATTTAGAAAAAAACAATTTTTTTTTAAATTGGAAACATACAATGACATATGAATAAATATATGAAAAGTCTTACTTGCTTTCTTTTTTAAAGTATTTTTGTATAGAAAAGTAATATTGATGGATTTTGAAGATATGTGAAAACAGTCCTCAGAAAAGAAAACAACAAAGATATGTTGATACTGCCTGGCATAAAAAGAAATAAAAACTGTAAGAGTTGCAGAATAGTGTACAACATTAGTTGATGCACAAAGATGTGTATGCCTCAAAATGTGTTTAAATGAGTCGATATGAAATCATATCATAGAACAAATGACCAAAAAATTCTCAAAACAAAGAGAGCGTTGACAAAATGTTTTCTGTCAACAGTTCAACTCACCTTGCTCAATTTGTCTTTATCTCTCAAANAAAGCCCAAATTTTACGTGGAACGAGTTGAGATTATAGGTGACCTAAATCCATGAGATGGGTACGGGGGGCCTTACCGTCTAGGAGGAGAAGCGGTAACGGTAGCCGTCCGGCGGAGCCGGCGGAGCCAACGGAGCCGGCGGAACGATCCGGACGGGACCGAAACCATGTGTACCGCCAGCGCTAACGCTGGTGGTACAATAAATACTGGAAAGAAGACAACCACACAATAAAATCTAAGCAACTGCGTTGGTTCTGAAAGGGGGGGGGGGGGCATGATATTTCTACCACAATGAACACTTATCTCCAGCTGTCAGAGGGCGCCACTGGCAGGTTCAGGCTCCCAGGTCCTGGTACAAACGCAGCAGACACAACACCCTTCAGTCTCTGCTTGATGTAATACATCCTCCTCTACCCAAGAAACTTCAGAGATAGGTGAAAAAAAAAGCACGACATGCTCCTGTTTATTTGGCTTTACTTAACCCTTGCATTTTCTGCATTTTTATCCTCTCCAGATTTCTTGTGACCTGAATATTTTCCTTATTCTCCCAGTCTGAATCTTAAATCCTTGCACTGATTGTCAGCTTCATTTTCTCTCTTAAACATAAAATGCTCCCTAAATGAACTTCAAATTCCACCGTTTGTTCAGCTTGCATTATAATTCTCAACCACAGAACACTCTCCCTCTCCCTATCTCTAATCCCTGTAATACATTTTCCTTCCCCACCCAGTACACTATATACTATACATCAGTTCTGACAACTACAACTACACCCAGTACACTATATACTATACATCAGTTCTGACAACTACAATCAGGTCATGGCTTGATAACCTGACAGTCTCTTTCATAAGAGTTTATCAATAATCCAACAAACAACACAGCCCAGACAATGTTGACACCCACCCCGCTGTGTTGACACAAGAAAATCAATACTTCATTTTGTCACCTCACACAGCAATTAGTTGACTCAGGAAGGAAATGTTCTCCACGTCCATTCAAAGCCAATTAAAAAAAAAAAATCAGCAATATTTGTTATAAGACCTAAGCTTTTCTGTAGTGCTTCCTATTTCTATTTCTTTTTTTTTTTTTTTTTTTTGTTTTTTGTTACCTATTTCTCATGATTATTAGGATCATGTTTATTATGTTAATTAGTTAAAATTCATTTATTTATTTATTTGTTAATATTTCTGAGCAAGCATTCTGCATTGTAACTTCACACTGCACAAAAACCATACAATTCACACTGCACAAAAACCATACAATGGATATTAACTTAAGGTACACCTTAATATAGTTCTGAAATTATTCTTTTTGAGACAAGGTATTTTACTATTTTGACTCCTCTCTATTTTCCCTTGACACACTCCTCCATTTTCCTTCTTTTTTTTCCTTTTTCTTACTTTGTTTGGAAGGAGGGAGATAAACAAAAAGAACAAAAACTTGTAGTCATGTTCTAAGGAAATGTAACCAAACTAAGAAATATTTGATAATTCCATTTCATTCAAGTCTACCAAATCACTAACCTAGGTGGTGGGAAGACTGTTTCTTCTTTGCGGCCTCATTCATCTGTTTCTCCAGCAGCTCTCTGAGGTGGTTGTTTCTCTCCACGCCTTCCTCCAGCTGACGACGAAGTGCCTGCACTGCAGCCAGCTCCTCTTCAAAGGCCTCTGGACGACCACTGATAGACACAGACACAGACACAAAGACGAGAATTACAGTCCATTCATCGCAAAACCAATTTTACTGGATTTTGAAGGATGGTTCAGGAGGCAATTAGACTGTACAGGTAATATCTATTATTGTTTTTTTGCATTTTCCCAATTGGAAAAAAACAACAAAAAAACAAAAGCCAATTGGAAAAAAAAAAATTATACTTCACCTTTTTGATTTTTACAACTTACAAACGATACTACATCACTGTACATGAACATCTTAAATGCTCATAGCTCTGTATACAGAACTATGAGCATTTAAGATAAACTATAACCTGAGATAAAAAGATATAAATTAAAACACTGTAACTCCAGTCCTAAAACCTTTCACTTTTTCTTGGAGTTATTTTTCATATGAAACACAAATAGTTAACTCTGTTATAGAATGTGTTTTATACTAATACAATCTCAGTCTTCATCAGTAAAGACTCCATACCTGGGTACAGTATTGAGGTTAACATACAGCTGTCTCTCAGCCTGCAGTGCCTGGTTCAGTCCCTCAGTCTCCTCCACCTGACTGCGGTAAATCTGCTGTAGCTGGGAAAGAAAATCAAAACCTCTTGATGTTGATGTGGTTTACGGTGATCATTCAAATATTTTAAACATCTCTAATTCCAATTGCACATTATATAAAAGTTTATCATTTTTAATAATGTCACAAAAAAGTTCATTTCTAACAGTGATCAAAAATGATTTCCTGGCACTGCTTATCATGCTTTTTGGATATCTAAAGCAAAACGCTGTTTTTGGAAATTCAATTTATCAATGGTGTTTGTATTTATTGAATGATTACCGTATGTTACCTAAATTGCTGTGATAAAGGAGAAGGGACCACAGTGTGTCCAATTCCTTAGCTAACAAAGGATTTGTACCTTTAATGCTAAAATATTGATTTGTTTTTTCACAGGTAAAGGATAGATGCATTTTATCTACCTTCACAACTTTTCATGCTCAGAACTATTATTATCGGTAGGTTAATAAGTTTAAGTTACTATACTGAGGAAAATAATTAAACTGTCAATACTAGTCCTCGGGGAAAATATTGATTTATGAAAGATTAATTTTGTCGTGATAAAGTAATAGCCCACAATCTTTTATTAATCTTCTCTGTGTAAAAAATGCACTACAATGTAGTCACAAAACAATCAGAGAAAGAAGAAGTAACTTTAAAACAGAATATACTGCCACAAATTGCAGGATACAGATTTTTACTTACGATGTATTTCCACAGATTATATTTCCTTTTTTTCTCTGCTCTGGTTAATTGTTCTTGTAATGTTTATCAAAAATCAATGAGGGGATACCAAACGACAAGTAAAGAAAGGAACCATATATTGCCCTACACCTGGAACCACCAGCTCCTGCTCTAGAAACATAAACTCAGGTGGTTGTCGTCACTAGTCTGCCTACAAACAGCTCAATGTGTACATTCACAATGAATCTATCACACTAGCTAGTGTGCAATAACTCCATGGGGACTCCTGCTGAATGCAATTAACACGTTTCCTCTCCTTTCCAATGTACTCATATAATCACCAGCTTTTCTGTACACTACTCAAAGCAAGGATGAGGCATTAATCTGATTGCATTCAGCAAAGGTCTCCATTGAGTTAGTACACAGTACCTAGGTCCATAAATTCATTGTAAATGGGCCCTAAGCTACCCATTCTAACACTGGCCCTGCACTCACATTCTCCTCTCCCCCTACAGTGATCTGCTGTCTCTGGGGAGTGCCTGGTCTGTCCACCTCTTCTCTCAGCTGTACCACTTCTATCCTCAGCCTCCTCAGTTCATCCACATCTACACCACCTCCTGACAGCTGCTGCTTCAGCTGATCCTGGAATTATAAATTTTTAAAAATTGAAAAAGAGTCTATATATTAGGGTTCTTTTTTTGCTCACTCAGTTCAGTGGTACTAAGATATTATAAAGCTTAACTGCTAATGGTAGACTCTTTTTCATATATACTTAAATTATTTAATTTTTTTCTAAAATACATTTATTTGATACACATACCAGTTCTTCTTTAGTCTGCTGGTGGGCTTGTAGTGCATCTTTCAATGCCTGAAAGTATAGTTCATGTAACAGTTAAAACAGCTTTGCTCTTTGCTGCTCTGTAATTGTAGTTCTAATTCAATAAATAATATTGAGAAGTACAAATCACTGATTTTTCAATGAGAAAAAAAAGTCTTTAAATCTTTTATATGAAAAAAATTGACAGACTAAAAAGAGAAATAAAATGTAACCTTTTCTTTGAGTTTGAGTTCTGCATTTAGACTCTCAGAGTCAGGACTATCATAGGTAATAGAATGTTTGGGACTGCGGTTCCTGGCCATACGCAGACGCTCTATCAGATCTGAGGGAAAAAAAATCAAGATCTAAGTTCTGAATTTGATATCTTTGCATGCACACATGTGCACACACACACACACACACACATTTTTTTTTTTATGAACGATATTGTAGGTGTGATAACACTCAGCGCCTCATTGGGCTGTATCCTCCCCAGGGAAGCAAGATTGCTTACACAGATTGTAATGATCATGTGTCTATTTGTTCTATGTATGTAATTCACATAATTGTAAAGTCTACTGAACATATCTATATGGAATTAAGACTTAAAATATATTTTAAAAAAATAATAATAATAAAATAATGCAAAAGAAATCTTTGTCATTGAATCATAAAATTCAATGAATCATGGTACCTTCTTTATTTTGCAAATCATTCTTCAACCTGGACACCTCGTCCCGCAGCCTGTGGAGTTCAGCCAGCTTACTGGGGCTGATACTGGGCGGCTGGGAGTCATGGATTTGACGGAACAGTTTATCCTTCTCCCGAGCACTTTCCACAAGGGACTCAATGGTCTTGTCCTTCTCGCTCAGAGCTGTGCGCATCTTGTCCAACATTTCTTGCTGTTGTTCCTCTGCCCACGTTGCCTTGTTCTCCAGGGACTGGAGGTAATAATATGCAATATGAATATTGGGTCATTAAGACGTGAGAAGAAATGTGAACTGAGAGGAACTGTGTGCCTCTGATATACTGAAAATGCATTTTTCAATCTAAGTATCAAATATGTGCTGAAATACCAAGCCCGACTTTTCATTATGCTGGATAGTTCATAAATTTTGCTTTAAAATTACCCTGTTGGTGTATAATTGGAATGGTATTAATTTGCAATAAATGGAGCCATATCTTAAATGCTCTATAATGAATGCTAAATTCTAATAAATTGCAAGAAAATTATTGACATCCAAGTCATAGGAAATTATCTGAGAAAAGTGTAACAAATACGATAAATTAATGATAAATAAAATAGCTTCCAGTCCATGATGATAGCCCCCCTTACCTGCAGTTCAAAATCCTTTCTATTCAGCTCAGTCTGCAGCTGCTGCAGTTCTTTATTCAGAGTGGCCATGTCTTTATTGAAACTCTCATGCAAGTGCTGTAAACAATATATACACAACTGGGTTAATCACCATGCACACATAAAACACCAATTTCCACAAACAAGGCTTCTCTGGTACAACACCATGAAGTAACTCTTAGATTACAATGAAGAAGCTGACAATACATAAGAACACGTTACAATGGTGCTTTGTTACATTAAGAAAAAATAACTGATAGTAACAAATAGATTACAAGGTGGTCCAAGACTACAGTAGTGATAGTCACATCTTAAGTTGTTATCATGGGCATACAAAAGTACTTGCTTTTATTCCACATTCAAACATATTTACATATTTTCAATTCTCTCCACAGATATACAGACAGACAAAAGCAGTACCACTTTATTGTAATAATATCCACAGGTCTACATACTTTCAACTCCCCGTCTTTATCTCTTAATTTCTCCAGCAATTCGCGGGTAGCCTCCTCATTGGTGACTGCCGCCTTGCTCCTGTCTGCCATGATTTCTTCGATGAGGTTGTCCTTCTCTTTCAGTCTCTGCTGCAGCTGCTCCACAATGGTTTCTTTGGAAGCAGCGGAGTCCCGTAGTGCATTCTAGAAATGGGTCATATTTTCACGTTTTAGTGTATAGTTTATCAATTGAAACATCATTGTATTTTAATGTGTCAACAAGCAAAGCATACACTGTGAGATAGAAAATGATGCATTTATATATCATCACCATATTTGTTCTCTTGATTTTGTAAGAAAAGAATTGAGCTTACGTTATTTCAAAACAACAGATTAAAAGACCACCCCACACCCATAGGGATAAACAAATAAAAGACAAAATGAAATATATCTCTATAATTACCTGCAGGGCTACCTCTCTGCTTGCCAGGGAGTCCTGTAGCCTCTTTATGACACCCTCCTTCTCCTCCAATGAGTGAACATTCTTGTCACCAATTTCCTACAAAAATCAGCATATCTTCATTTTAAGCATGCCCATTCTCTTATATCTAAGTTCCTAATTCTATTAACAATTAAACCAGTAATAATCATAGTGAAAATTTATAAATTTTCTATTAAAAAAACACCAAACACTAGAGTCCATACAACTTCACTCCAAGAATGGGATCACACAGCTGGTAACTAAAAATACATATCTGTGTTTGTTAACTTATTCAGGGATGCTAGTGGGGTCCGGAAAGAAAACCTGAACTTTTTTTGGCAAAGACGGGGGGGGGGTACAAATTGATTATGAAACAATTACTATATTTCAAATTTTATTTAATAAATATATTGCAATATATGTCATCACAACTTCATGGTAATTTTCAACAGTTGTTTCCAAGGATAATCTTGACATTGACAAGATGGAAGTGCCATCAGTACATAAACACCTACCACCCATAGTAGACAGTAATGATCCCTCACGTAAGCTTGATAATCACCAGCATGATAATGATAGTCACTAAATGTTAATCCCTTTCATTTATCATTTTCAAAGATTGGTAATGGCTTTCGTGGTAATGCCCAAGCAACAAAAATGTGTAAAGACAACTACGTGCTTTGGCATGCTTAGTTGTTTTAGCATGGTTTTTCAGAGCTTTTTTACCACTGCTTCCGTACCGGATCACGTCGTTGCACCATACACACCAAGCTTCTCCGGGGGACTTTCGCTTCCGAACATAGGTAGAAAAAAAATCGTCATTATTGTCCTTTTCCTCCAGCCAACTCCAACTAAATCTATTTTTGACAGTAATGTCGATGTTTCTAATATCGTCTGTTCCCCTCTCCGCGAAATCCATTTAGTTTGGTTTAGTTCAAAATTCCGCGCACGCGGTGTCAAAACTTTCCACANCCTCTGACCCATCGTTCGTCCAGTCCGCGACCACGTTAAAAACGAGAATTCCGGAACAAAATATAGTACCAGAAAATTTTATAACTGGACGCAAAAAAACGGAATTCCGGTAAAAACCGGAAGACTAGCATCCCTGCTTATTGGAATTTCAAAACACTTCTCTTTTTCTAATATGTTACTTTTTCAAGATTTACTTTTTAGGCACTCTCCAAAAGTGTCCTAGCTTTCTGACACAAAGCCAACTTACTTTTTAAAGTTTTGAATGAAAATTGTTAATAGTCTTTTTCTGGGACAATAACTAATTCCTGTCAATAGATGTGAGGTACAAGAACAATATCAAATTTGTTAAAGTCGAAGCTTCTGTCATACTCGGCACAGTAGTTTCCTAATGCCTCACCTCCATGGCTTGTTGCTGTCCTTTCAGAGCACTGGCTAGCTGGGCAAGGTGCTGCTCCTTCTCACGCCCCTCTCGCTCCAATGTCTGAAAATAATACCATCCACAATAAATAAAACAATATGCAACTAAGGCAGTCTTTGGAATATCACCAAAAAATATACCAGTGCAAGATTGTCCAATGACTACATTATCCAGAACTGTATCAGTGGCACACAGCACAAATAGCAATTAAAGTATCTTTATAACACTGTTCAAGTAATAAACTATAAACAAAAATAAGCTACCAACTATCTTGTTATTACATAAACTAAGCGTGCACTAAAATACAACATACATCTATGGTTTCTTCAGAGTTCAGAAGCATTTGATTGGCTCGTTCAATGTCACGCTCTCGCTCTCTTAGAGACATCTTCAGTCCTCGAATCTCATTGTCTTTCTCTTCCAGAGCACGGAACTTTTCCTCAATGGCTTCCTGATATCAGAAAAATCTTGCTCACTGTTTTACAACTGATCTCTTTAATCCTATCATATCAATTTTCCAGGAGAAGCTCACCATACTTACTATGACCATTCTGCCAAATTCTTAAGAAAATTTGGAAAAAAATCAGACATACTATAGACTTGGTGAAAAATTAGACATTTGATTAATTCTAAAGCAAAAATGAAGAAGAAATGACTCCAGCTATATAGCATACTGGAAAACATTTACTACACACCACATGCTTAAGTATTCAAAGAAAAAATAAAAATTATTTAGCCACAAAGAAAATGAAAAAATCAAAATGCTAAAATCTACTATGAGATACATATTATATATATAAATGTAAGAACACTTGGATTCGATTTGACTTTAACAGCACACACGCACAGACCACTGTAATCCCAGAGAAAGGCAGTCAACACATTGTATTTTATGTAAGGTATTAACCAGAATATTTATGTAGATTTAGTCATATAAACCAGTGATGAATACCAGCATTGTATTGTGAACCATAATAAAACTAAGTGTTTTCATTTTCTTGTGTTGTCCATATATTTATCATGATTTTATATATATTTTTATGTAAAATTTACATTTTAAATATTAAATAATCATATCATACTATCAAATGAGGCCCATTTTACTCACTTCAACAGCCTTGTCTCTCTCAGCCAGCCTCTCTCTTAGCTTGCTAATAAGACTGTCTTTACTCTCAGATTTGGGCTAGAAGAGAATTTCACAAAAAATTTTAGTCACATTACGGCCTCAATCTGTGAAATATCTCAGGTTGAGACCCTGTCTTCTTTTACTTGCTAACTGTAAGCTCCAGAATTTGATTTATATACATATATCTCAATCTACTTCCCAGTTCTGTACTCACTGTGAGAGACTGCTCCTTGTCCAGATACTCCTGGAGCTGCCTGTCTTTCTCTTTCAGACTCTTGCTAAGTCTCTGGATCACTTTCTCCTTGCTCTGTAGCTGTCTCTGGGCATCATCTGACAGCACCTGGAGAAAGACAGGTCCAAACATTGTCATATATGTGGTAATATTCCACAAAATATATGCAAGCATGAATCCAAAGCTAGGTATAAGTATAACCTTTAAATGTCTGGGGGTGTCAACTCATTGGTTGGTAACTTCCATTTTTTTGCAACTTTTTTCATGTACAATGGCCACTAATTGTTATTAGTTAGAAAGCTTCCAAGAATGTGACCACTGGCTTGTAAAAGTTTTAGTACATCTATACAGTAATGCTTTTAAAAACTTTTCATAATGTGCTTCCTGAAAACATCCAAAGATTTATATACACATCAGAATACTCACTATGTTGTCATTTTAATGTCTTCAGTGTCAAACCACCAGAGACAAGGTGAAAAAAGTTGAACACTTCTATTTAACACATTTGTATACATTATTCTATACTGGTTTCATGGAAGGTATCACACTTTGGTCAAGACAGGAAGTTCTGGTGTACCTGGTATTGCTGTTCCTGGGCCTCCAGTTTGTCCACTCCTTTCTCCTTCTCTTCATGAAGCTTCTCTTGGAGATCCTGGACATAAATGAGGCAATTCTCATAATTTCAAAGGTTTACATTATACATCCTTACTTTGCAAACTTAAGATTAATGATATTCAACACCATTCCTTTATCCTGCATTTATTTTCTATTGATGATTTGGCTATGGAAAAGATGAAAGACAAAAGCTATTCCACATTTTTCAAACATTCCTTAATCTGGCTATGAAAATTAAAGAAAAAATGGATAAATCTTTTTCCAAAATTTTCACTTCTTTATCATAAATTTAACTAAAATATTTCATTTGACTTCAGAATTTTCCCAAATTTGCCTAAAACCAACCAACCAACCAACCAACAAACATAAACAAATAAAAAGCCAACCCAAATGGCACACTTCTCACCACAACATCATTGCTCTACCTGTACAGATTCTTCCTTGTGTTTTATAACCTCGTCCAGTTTCTCCAGCTGTTCTTGAAGCCTTTCAATCTCGGAGACCTTCCTTGCCAAGGACTTCTGGAGCTTTTGGTTCTCCAGATCCTTTATCTTGATGTCCCCCTCCATCTGAGCTATCTTGTTGTCTTTGTCTGAGAGCCGAAGCTGCTGGTCCTCCAGGCCCTGGTGGACATTGAGTTGAGAGTGAAAGCTAAGCAAGGGGAGAGAGAGAGAGAGAGAGGAAGAGAGAGAGAACGTGCACCTGCATGCGTGTGTGCCCGTGTATGCGTGAGAGAGAGAGTATATATTCTCTGGTTTGTCAAATGTATGGAAACAGAAGGTCAGGATCCTGCCTTTATGGTTACAAGGAACTGTTACATAATTAAGGAAAAATATGTCAGCTGTGGCAGCACGTCTCTTAATGGTGAAGATGTGTACAAAATCTCCCAGGAATGTGTTCTGACATATGCAGTTATTATGATGCATCTGACACTGTGCAAAGTGTGACACATTCTAATGTCAAAGGCAGTGTATTATTAATATACAGGACGTGATAGAGTGATTCATGTGATAAATTTGAAATAATTTTCATAGAACAAAACCTTCCACACAACAGACCTGGTATTTTTTCATGGTAGCAGCATGGAGCTCCTGCTTGTTCTGCTCCAACTCATCCTCCTTCTCTTCAAGCAGAGTTGTTAACTGCTGGATCTGTAAAATAAAACAAGAAATATATGCCTAAGTCCTCTTCATACTAGTGGGTGGGTTTATTGTGATACATACTTATTCACAAATTCTGGCAAAAGTCAACAAGTTATTTTTTGTATTGACAAATTTTACCTGTTTTTCCTTATCGTGGACAGTCTTCACCATGCTTTGAACAGCCTTGTAACTTTTCTGCAGGTTTTCAGCCTCAGTCTTGCTCTCCTTCTGCAGCTGATGCAGTTGGTTTTCCAACTCCTGCATGACAAAATTTAGAAAAAAAATTTAAAAAAAAAAAATTGGAAACATACAATGACATATGAATAAATATATGAAAAGTCTTACTTGCTTTCTTTTTTAAAGTATTTTTGTATAGCAAAGTAATATTGATGGATTTTGAAGATATGAATTGAAAACAGTCCTCAGAAAAGAAAACAACAAAGATATGTTGATACTGCCTGGCATAAAATGAAATAAAAACTGTAAGAGTTGCAGAATAGTGTACAACATTAGTTGATGCACAAAGATGTGTATGCCTCAAAATGTGTTTAAATGAGTCAATATGAAATCATATCATAGAACAAATGACCAAAAAATTCTCAAAACAAAGAGAGCGTTGACAAAATGTTTTCTGTCAACAGTTCAACTCACCTTGCTCAATTTGTCTTTATCTCTCAAGCCGTCTTCTAATTTCTGAAAAAATACAAGTTAAATGTTCAGCAAATTTTTAACAACTGAAAGGAAATGCCACAAAACTTAAACCATCAGGGCAACTGATGCATACTGGTATATATATATATATGGCCTTGATTACAATCCAGATGTTTATATAAAAAAGATGAAAGTAGACCTTTTAAAAATTCAGAAAATGTACAAGTACAAAAGGAGTGCAGCTATATGGGTTAAGGAGGGGGGGGGAAGATGAGGGTGCATAAATACATCAATCAAATTTATCGTGCTTTCCTGTTTTACCCAGAAAGACTTTCATCTCTAATCAATGGACAAAAAAAAAAAAAAAAAAAAAGCAGTGGCCTACCCCAATCATCTGTTCTTTGTCCTGTAGATCACTGGTCAACTGTTCACACACTATCTCCAGCTCATCAATCTTCCTCTGCTGGTCATCAATTGTGTTCTAATATAAGACAAGTTATACATTGATTTCAATACCATTCTTCCAACCAAAATAATTTTTCAGAAAGGAATGAACATATTCTGCAACTAAAATTAAATAATAAGGTTCTGCTTTAAACTAAATAGGATGAGAAATAAAAATAAATGTATGAAAAGAAGCTAAAAAATCAAAAGAATAAAAAAACTAAGTGAGGGTTTGTGTGAATAAGGAATGTTTATTGTTAAATCAACAAAGAAGCAAGCATTAAACAAAAGCATGTACACAACATAATTAAGCATCCATGTTCCCAAATTATTACAATCAAATTAATCACAAAGTATCATAAAAAGAAAGGTGAAATCAATCATAAAAATATGACAAAAGACACAGCTTTTTAACTCTGCTATTGGTTAAAAATAAACCTAAGAGTACATCACTACAAAATCAAACAAATTCAAACAAAACAAAACAAAACAACTGAACAGCAAATCAAAATAAAACTATTTGTAAAAATTATGTTGGGAAATTCTAAATATGTTTTCCAATAATGAACATCTAAAACAAAGCAAATAGCTTGGATAGGTATTTTATGCCTAAACCTTAGGCTAAGACTTTGTTACAACCAAGTGGATCTGCGGACTAACTGACCTGAGGATTAAATGTGGCCAACCCACTTGAAAGCTTTCTGCATTTTCCCCTAATGCATTCGCGTGAAGATTACGCGACAAGCTTTAAAGTGGTTTGACCATATTTAATACACAGATCAGTTAGTATGTGGATCAACATGGTTGTGAACTGTGCCTAAAAATCAACAAATCTATAAAATGCCAAGCAGGTGACAACAATCATTACCTACCATTTTTTCACTGTGAATCAAGTATATAATCACCTCAACAAGAATTTACAAAAGAATTTGTAAGCTAAACCAATTCTTATATCCATCTTATTTCCAATCTTTTAACAATATCAATCATTTTTTTTTTCATAGGTTTATCATACTGAAGCCCCATTAAATGAACAAAATAATTTTCTCTCCAATCACCTGTGAGTCTCTGCTGTCTGGAGTGGACCGTCCTGTGTTCAGAGCATCGTGTAACTTGTCCTCCAGTGACTGGGGAAATCAAAGCAAATCACACACACAATAACTACACAGATATTGCAGCAACACCAGGAAGCACAATGTGGATTATTATACGGACACAGGTGCTATTAATAGATCTGCTGACAGCATGTTCTTAAAGGGCATACAGGGTAAGTAATACATAACACTTTTCAAGTAAAATGTTCAACCTTTGATATCAAATAAATAGATGATTTTCATTTATGACACATTACTCAACTATCTTGCTGTGAAATTAAAAGTATTATGTGATGTGATACCCTGTATGCCCCTTATACAGAACTCCACACTGAAACATCTAAACACATGTTCTCTGTGGGGATATACAGGAGGCAAGTCATATACAATGTGCAAGTTTAAATTTTTGAAATTTTAAACTTGATTAAAATCAAATTCAGAAACATCTTCTGAACTGGATATTCCAGTACTACAAAAATATAGCTGTCAACTCAAATGTACTGCACAGCAAGTCTTTCAAAAATACACTTCTGGTAAAAACACATATTGTTCACAACTGTCCATCCTGGTTTTGTGTCCCACAGAGATTCCAATTAAGATGTGAGAGACAAAAAAACAAAACACTCCACCTCGAATAAAGTCAGTATATGTGAATAACAATATAATACCAATGATGTTCTCTTTTTGCAAGAATTCAGCCATACTTCCAATGTGTTTTTTTTTTCTTTATCTTCTTTTGTTTACTTCAAAATTCATTCAAAATGCCCCCTACAACAGATAATCACTTAATCCATGCTTCTATTCATGTTCAATACCCCAGATCCCAGACATACCAACAACCATAAAGTCATAATAAAATTGATATCTATCCACCCACCACCTCCCTCATTTACAAAATATCGAGGAGAATCCATGAAAACTTGCAAGCAAAGACACCACTTTGGCCTAGGGTGTGTGTATTGAAAGTGAACATTGCGCAGTGCCTCTCTCTCTCGGTGCTGTTATTGGTCAAAAGCCCGCACCCACTGACCTGATAGTCGATATAATTTTTCATGACCTGTGCTGTTGGGGTGTGATCGCTCAGCCTTCGTACTAAAGACTGAAACAGAAACATTCAACGTGCCAAAGGAACTGTGTCGCACACACATCCACATGCAAGGGATGCACGTACATGCTGAAAATCATGGTCATGCTTAGGACGAGTACCATGCATTCAGGGGCCCAGTGCCACAGCATGCATAAGGAGCAGATTAACCAGGCATGGCTACACTGAGCAACAGGACTGACTGAAGCTCTCTTGCCATGCCTTCACTATGTTGTTGCTGGTTATTATGTGACCAATCCAGTGAAAATTACTGTAATAACTGTCAGCCTTGACTCTATTAGCCAGCAACTATCAGTATTTCATAGACACAAACTCATATGTGAAAGATAATGATAGTTACAGTAAATAAATTTCATGTAACCTGTGGTGATAGAAATAGATCAATAAAGTACTCTGAAATGTGACTGGTGGGGGTAAATTGTGTTGTGAAGATTACAGTAATTAAATCTAAAAAATGAATATTAGTTTCCCACATAATTAAATACTTTAAAAAAAGATGAAATATTAAAAATAAAACATTTTGTAAGCATTCGGGTACATATTAAATTTCATTAATCAAATCAAGATGTCAGAATGCCTTATATGAAATAAAATTAAATGTATAAAATATTAGCAATCATTTAAGTACTGAAAATATTCAATTAATTTATGAGTTTGTGATGCATGTTACAGGCACACCATGGTTGTACGCTATGGGCAGGGTACTTCAACCACGTGTACTCTGAGACTGAAAAACACAGAGCAACTCCCAGTTACTGTATTCACTGGGGGTGGGGTTGGACATGCACACAGGGGTGGGGTTGGACATGCACACAACACAAGGTCGCATACAAAGAGACAACCCACTTGACCCATTTCTACTAGTGGCCCTCTCACCTGTATGTCATCTTCCTTCCTCTTGAGATCTCTGGACAACAGTTTTACTTTCTCCTCCAGAGGCACTCTCATGCTGACCACGGCATCCTCTTTCTCTCTCTCCAGCTCCGTGATAAAAGCGTCTTTATTCTTCAGGGCCGTGCGCAGCTGATCTATGATCCTGAATTACAGTCAACAATGTTAAAATGTAAGGCAGGTGCACAAGGTTTGTTAGATATGTTTTACAAAAGGTAACTTGTATCATGAACAGACTGCAAAAGGAAAGCAAAGAGAATTTTTTGGAACATCAACAAAAAAGGGACACATTTTTAGTTTCTTTATCTCCATTTACTTTCACGTTTACAAAAGACTAATATAAGAAAACTGTACTTGTCTTTTTCTCCCAAAGCAGCTCTGTTACTCTCTGACTGGTCAACAGATGGCACTGCCTCCAACTCTTTAAGCCTGTCCTGGGTTTCTTTCAGCTTGTCTTGGGCCTCTTTCAGTGCTGCTGCATTCTTTTGTGCCTCCTAAATGCAAAGAAAAACTGTTGTGCTGATTTCCTTCATTCAATACAAAGAAAAAGAAAACCAAAACTGATAAACTGGTTTATTAAGCACATAAGTGTGAAAGTAGTAGTACTGAAACACCATAGAACTTGGAAAAACATTTATAAAAAGCACAACTGTGATAAAACAGGTTTCTCCATAAACTTTTAACACTACATGTTTGATCTCACAGTTCTTACTTTCTCTATGATAACTTATCAGGGATGGATAGCAATGTGCTGTTGTGGATTGATTATTCTTTTCATTGTCCACAATTATCTTACAAAGCAACAGATGCCTTTGGCGCCAGGAAAACCAGGATCAGTAGTGATTTGAGCTGGGAAGGTCACATCTGTGATATTTGTAAAAAAGCAAGTAAAAGGCTATACAATCTTAAGCTTCTGAAAAGAGCGGGTATTCCAACCAAAGAACTTGTAAACTTTTATACATCAGTAATCAGACCTACATTAGAATATGCATGTCAGGTGTGGCATCCAGGTCTTACACAACAACAAATTGATAAAATTGAATCCATCCAGATTAGAACATGTAAGATTATATTCCCAGAGCTGTCCTACGATGGGGCACTTGAAACATGTAAACTTATCACTCTTGTTTGTAGAAGAGATGAACTATCTAAAACATTATTGCATAACATGTACTCTGAAGGACACAAAATCCATCATTTGCTACCAGAGATAAATGAAAGTTCCTACACTTTGCGCCGGGTTTATAAGTACACTGTGCCAAAACTGAGGACTGTACGATCGTCAAAAACTTTTATCCCATGGAATTTATCAAATTTTAAGTACTGAGTTTTTTATGAATTTTTAATGTGTATCGAATCATTTTAACACTTACAAGTATATTTTAAGATTGTGCATCTCACGACTATTTGTTTTTATTGTAAAATCCAACTTTTTTAAAGTTGCAAATAAATACATATTATTATTAAAACACCATACCTGTTCAGTTACTTTCAGTTTTTCTTCCAGCTGGTCACGACATCTTACCAGCTCATTCTCATGCTGATAGGCCATCCCCTCCACTGCATTGCTGAAGAAGAGAACAAAATTAAGTGTCACAACCTGGTGCAAACTGAATAGATAAAAGTTGAAAGTCCTTTCTAAACTTAACATTACCTACCTACTCTTAAATATTATTATTATTGCCAATTCTATTACATCACACCAATCAATCACAATATAACATGACAACCAAGGGTCACTTATACATAGTTCAAATAATACATGTCACGTTAAGAATTATTATCAATGCTAATAAATCAGCTGAAAAAAATTATTTAACACTCACGAAGCTCTTTTCAGCAATTCCTGCTTGTCCATCAGATCTTTCTTGAGGCTCTCTACTTCAACCTTCAGTTCTATATTCTAAAAATTCAAGAGCAACTTTGCCTGTATTCATTGTTTAAAAAATGTAACAGCTGAGAGCACCAAATGTTTATGATGTCCAGCAGCAACATAACCACATAAAAAACTTGAAATATTCATTTAAAAAAGGTGTGCATTTTCATTGCGTAAGTTATGTCACAAGTTCTCTGTATTGAATATGACCCACCCTGCAAGCTGCAACCTTGGGTTCATTTTCAAGACAGAAAATACAAGATAAAATCCAGATAACTGAAAACTGCAAGCAAATATAAATTTCAGATCAGAAAACTACATATTTTTTTCTTTTCGGTGCAAATGTTTCACATAAAATCTGCTACTAGTTTTTTTAGGCGAAGATATTTCACAGAAAAAAAGGGAAAATTTACAGCTGTTAATCTATTTTTGAAACAAACATGCTGTAAGATAATATTTGGACTACCAGGAGGCTGCATCAAGATAAGCCACATCCTTACTGTTTTGAACACATCTTCGTGATCCCCAAATCTCTGTTTCATCTGCTCTTCCAAGTAATAGATGCGCAGCTTCAAGCTGAAGTTCTCTTTCTTTAAAGTGGCAAGTTGCTGAAACCAAAGCAATAATCATATTACAAAGTTTATCATAAAATATACTTGTTCAACTACAAGACTATGATAATTTGAAACATCCCATCAAGTCAGCAATCATTGACTTAAATTCTACTATATCAAAAATAATTATAATACCAATATTAAACATCACATTGTCACTGCCATAAAAATTAGTAAGTCAGAGTAAAAAGAAGGGCAAGCTAAGCATAAGTTCACAATCCTGTATCAATAGCAATTGGTTGCATAAATCTAACAAATAAACAGTTGTCACTTACTGTATATAAGTGGTTTATTAAATATGAATTAATTTCAAAGTCCTGGGACATACCTCTTATGTGAAACCTCCATAACTCTGGGAGGCAAGGTGAACCTTTCAAGGGTGGCAGATTTGATGGTTTTTAACTCTGCTTTTTGTATTCCTGATCATAATAACTAATCATAATCCTTACCTAATCCTATCCCTCATCTGATTATATTCCTTACCTGATCATATTCCTTCATGGTCCTGGCCCTGACAGGTGACATCCGCCCACTGCTGGCCTTCTCAACCACTGAAATAACACAAATAATAATAAACAGGTGTGTGTGTCTGTGTGTGTGTGTGTGTGTGTGTGTGTGTGTGTGTGTGAGNATTACAACAGGAAAATAAGGTATAGCAGCTGACATAGTATGATACATGATTATAGCTGGTAATTAATTAAGTTTACATTGAGACATCATCATTTCAGTTTAAATTTATACGTTGCAGAGATTACAGGTCCTTCCCATTTTTTAAACATTGTTTTCACTTTTTTTCACACACCTTTCTTCACACAGAATTAATCTAGAAATCTAGAAATGAGAGAGAGAGAGAGAGAGAGAGAGAGAGAGAATGCACGTGCTTATGATGTGCATTTGTTCTAAGTACTGTAAAATTCTAGATATCAATTTTCCATGTTTTGTTCCTGTTACTATTTCTGAAAGCAACTTAAAAGTGTTATAATTTTTCTATATGCATGTCTCAGACAGCTATACAGTTATCAGTCTTCAACTGCATGCCTGCCATCAGCAGATTAGCAAATAAATGAAATTAATGAAATCATAATAAATTAGAAAATAATTTTTAAAAAAACACATTACATTTTTCACTGAGTATTTTATTTTTTTTCAATTAACTGTTTTTTCCTTTTCTTTGAGTTCCTTTTTAAATTTTATGTTTCATTTTTTATCTTTTTTTATTTAAGTTTATTTGTATGAACCACCAAAATATCATGTCAATTCCTGGTTAGTCATATACTAGTATGTTGACACAGCAGTTCTTGTACCAGTGCTGATATATAACAACTTACTTGGAACAGATCCATCTGGATACTTGAGATGGGTCCCAAAAGTTACTTCTCCAAGCAAATCTGGATTGGTGCTAAATAAAAAAAAGTCAATATAAAAAAACTAGTAAACATCTTATATAGTTGAGGTACTCTTCTACTGACATTTCAAAGGTCAAAAGAGGATATTGATTATCTATATTTTTCCTTTTTTTCAAAACATGATTAATATAAAATATATATGGGCTGTAACAATACATACAAAGAAAACCTAGAGTTAAAAACCAATACTGGATGTACTTACCTGTGCCAACTCATCTTTGTTACTCAAAGTATTTGTTTAAAGTTTGCATAAAGTTGTTTTGAAAATTGTTGGCACATCTTCTAGCATGGTTAATTAAGTCAAGTCTTCTATCCATCCAAGAGGTGTCACTTGACAACCACAAAAAAATGTGTAAGAAATATGTACTGAGTCATCAAAATCAACTGTCCATCATGCATTTCCACTTTCCTTTTTTCCAAACCAAGTTTAAGTTGCATCTAGTCATGAAATTATTACCATAGGCCTTACCAGCATAACTGCTTCTTAGGCAAATTGAATATTTTTGATTTTCATCAAATCAGAGATTAATGGGTCAACACAAATTATAAATATATCTAGGCATTTGATGATTATTCCATAAGCTACCATCAGCTTGGATGACGGTATACTATTCCATAATCTTGAAGCTGATCCAAATACTTTCTCCAGTCCTATAGTCATGAAAACATATAATTTCTTGGATATTCACAGTGAGTACCACTAGATCTGCTTGTATTATATGCAACTACTCACACAGTAGCAGCTAATGTATACAGCCACACACATATATAAATACATATATATAGCAGTGTTATCTGTATAAGTGTTAGCTGAGTATACTTGATGTTTAAATCGTGAAACCAGAGAATCCACAATGATGATGCCCACTTGTAAATCTACATCAGTTCTACTTTCATGTATTTCTGCCAACTGTATGATGTTATTTTTTTCCACAGATTTCCATGTAAACACGAAAGCCACGTCGTCACCAATGATACTAAGAGAAACCACATCTAATATATTAAGCTGTTACTTCTCATTTGAACAGTAAGTCTATTAACGCAGTGCCAATAATATATTTATTATGGACTCCATCCCAGTAGAACTAATTTGAAAACAGTTCAACAGGGCTGGATATCTGAAGGGATTGGAATGGTTCGCAAGGTTTATCATTATCCAGCACCCTGGCCCAAAATGTTATGTACAATGGATGTGACTGTGTGTACTGAAGCCACAAATAATCAGAATCAGTCTTGAGAAATAATCTCACATTTTTCTCACAGTCAAATGAATTCAGTTAGAAATCATGCAACTGCTAAATTCACATTGAAAGGGAACTACTAATTGCAGAATTTTATGGAAAACAGATCTGCAAAAAGGACATAAAACGATTTTAACTAGATCCATCAAATAAACTGTAAACTCAGGCCTTCCATTCAGAAGTGGTGGTTTCGATCCTCATAATCTGATCCAGGAAACAATGTAGATGTTCAGTTTGATTTCAGGAAGTGAGGCAGTCGGCCAAGCAATCAGAACACTCTCTGGTCTAAAATCACATTCAAATCATCAACAATCATGAATCTAGCCATCATATAATCCACTTTCATGTCTTTGGAGTTACAATGTCAGGCCGGTGATTAAGAATCCTATATAAAACCATCTAAAGTCTCCAGCCAGAAGTCACCAGGCCTAGATTCAATCTAGCCAACACAGGCATACCCAACTACCAGACACGGCACTGAATGATCCTGAATTCACCAGTAAATCGGACCACACTACCCGTTTTCAAGGTGTGTATCAGTATGCATTTCACAGTATCAGACGCGACACCGCTCTTGCCTAGTACGCGATGTGATAGTGACGATTCTCAGCAGGGTTGAAAAGCATTGCATCACCACTCAAAATTTGTTCAGGGTATGATACTGTGTAATGCGTACTGACTCACACCTTGAAAACAGGTAGTGTGGTCTGATCTACCGGTGAATTCAGGATCATTCGGTGCCGAGCCTGGTAGTTGGGTAGGCCTGCAACAGTATCTTTCTAAATTAGCTTCATATATCCATGAACACATCTGATAACACTCTCCAACTTTCCTTCATTATATGCTGTCACTAAAATACCTCTTTGCTGCTAAATTCATACTCAATCAAGTCCACGCTCTAAGACACTTGGCAGCAATCCCAGGCAATCATAAAATTGTCACTTGGAGCTTAACAGCATGGTATATGACAGATCCATAACCTTAGTAATCAACACAGACTGTCTAATACCGGTATTTCTAGAGAACAGTATGCTGTTATATCCACCTCCATGGCAGCACTTGGCCCGGCTGGTCTACATATTCCACTGGCACCTAATCAGGTCTGACATTAACCCATGTTTTTCTTTTAAATTCACCTTCTCCTGGTCATAATGTGATCAACATGTAGTCTACACATTGTACTGAGCGTAATATAATGTAGCTTACCTAGCTCACAGACAACCTATTTGTTCAGGGAAATAGTGGTTAATTACGCTTAGAGGCAACATCAACAGCACTAATGTGGTTTGGAAATTTCCAAATTCATTTCCAGGAACAATTGGTAGTTTTTTATCGTTATTAATACAACTCTGTTGGTTGTTGTAAAAAGCAGGCTTAAAATATCATGTAGATGAAGCCTCATTTGGTTTTTAGAACCAGTTTCAGTTGGTTTCTGTTTTGTCTTCTTTTAGCTACTTAAGAAACTGCTTATAAATAACTGTCATTTGACCTAAGCTGCCTTCATATGAACATGATCCAAGTCCGTAGATTTGGAACAAAACAGATCTTACAGCTTTGCTAAATAAAGACTCAATCATTAGTAAGTTACTAGTACTTCTATACTGTATTTCTCTTTATCACTATTCCATATGTCTATATTCTTCCTGTGTTATATAAACCACAAGCTTGCGCTTAAATAATCATGATGAACAAGGCCCAGACTTAAAGATTATGTCAGTAAATGCATTGATTTCCTGTTTCTAGGATTTTTGCAAAAACAAACCTGTCAACCACTTAAGTCTGGATTTTCTTTTTTTATTTTTAAATGCACTGAAATATATAATAAAAATTAGGCAACATTCCACTTAATTCACATTCCATCTTCAAAATCATAACTATTCTGAATATAAAATCCTACTGTACATAATTATCTTTTTTGAGACAATTCCCACAACATGAATTATACATTAATTTACTGGTATTGCTTTTTTTCTCAACAGATTTATGTTCTTTAATGATGAGATGCTGGTGTATTGAACACACACAAAGTCACCCTGATAGTACCAGGTATTATCCCTATGAATTAATCAATTCATTGGTTAGGATGCCTTTTTTGTCAAGATGAGAAAAGGGACCTTACAAAATTTAAGAAAACTAAGCTTTGAAGATGAATGTTTCGATGGAGCTGAAATAAATAATTTCAAAATTCAGCTTCTAGGTAACTGCATATAAATATCATAACTACTAGTAATACATGATAAATAAAGCTTACATATATCACTTATCATGCTGCGCGTGTCCCATTGGTATAAAATTTAAATAAAAAATTATCTTTAAGTAAACTGTCAAAACATACACTTTTCAAATGTAGTTCACTTAACCTGCCACAGTTTACATGCAGTACTGAATTTTATATTTCATCAAAAAGATTTATTGCATGCAACACTTATACTTATACTACCTATATATGATATGACAAGATGCAGCATTTGCCTGACTGAGTTGAAGCATTGAAATGAGGTTCATAGCAAGCACAAAGATGGAGTATTTGACTCTAGGTATCTTCCAGTACATTGCACTGCATTCCATGACTTAGGAGAAGGTGATGTAACAATCAAGTTGGCTAATAAAGTAAAACCATGTTTTGCAACATAATCTGATAATTTTACCTACACAGTAGGAAAGGATTGTGCAACTAATTGCTGAAATATCAACTTTGAGATTCAAGTAATGCATTGTTTACTAACGTATCTGACCTTAATATGTAACCATATCCAAGACTATTTGTTTTAATAAAACTTGTTACTGATTGTATAAAAATCAGGCACTACATACAGTATATTTGAAAAACATTTATATTTCATCGTATTACCCAACCTACTACTGACTGTACTTCTGAATTCTCTATGATTGTCACTTCTATTGGAATGTTTGATTTGCTAATGAAAGAACAGGCAAACAAAATAACTGTTGCGCAAAGAACGCAGGTAATTCATCAACAGTTGGATTTGAATGGCAGTCTATGAAAATCAATATCACGATATGCTTGCTTGCTTACGACAGTTTGACTGACGGGGATGTGTTATGATTAAAGTAAACTGTATGGTGTTTTACAGTCCAATGAAAAATATTTGGACATCCAAACACCCCATTTTAACCGACTAGTCTAACTTAATTTTTATGAATACAAAAGCAGTATTAAAAGAAAATTTAGATCCGATTTTGACAGGTAGCCTTTCGCCGTTATTGAAGTGCAGCTCTAATGCAACGAAGACACCTGTGAAATAAGTCTTACCTGCCATCAAAATCAATTGGCAGAGTAGGATCTTGCTCATACACAGAATCCATTTTTGATGCTACGGTGGCATTGCTTTTCGTCTGGATTTATCGACTATTTGTATTTCGCCGTTTCCAAAATTCCGCCATCTTGGATCAAAGAAACTGCGCAAGCGCGAGGTCTAAAATACAGTTTCGTACTTGTTTATTACATCTAGTTGATATTGCTTGGCAAATAGTAGCAACAAATTTCTAAAAATCATACATTTTTCATATTATGGATTTATTATAATATATTTGAGGTGTAAAAGGTACATTAAATCATTTGCGCAACTATTACATTAATTAAAACTAACTTATCTTAGTAAGAAATGGAACTCGTGGTTTCGTTGGAGTTCAGGTACTACAGGTGTATATATAACAACACTAGACACAAGATTGTTTTTTTTTTTTTTTTTTTTTGCTATGATAAATTTTAAAAGAATGGTTTGGCAATTATGAGTACCTTTAAGTTGTACATTATGGATATTACTTTAATGCTATTGTATAATAATCTTCAGTTTATTCGCATCATTGTCGCCGACGAAGTCGTAGATTAACGTTTTGGTGCTTTTGCAATGTGTTTGACTTGACTTCCCCTTTCTTGCTCTCTCTATCTAATAGTCAGTCTTTTCGAGGCGCCTTTCATGCAAATATAACACTATGATGAAGCAGAAAAAGTTTATTTACACCAATTTATAATGCTCCCAGTCGGTGGGCCATGGCTGATCAGAGTGATGAATACATTTTATTTTTTAATATTTGATAGCGGGGGCGCTGAGCTACTGTTTGACAAGGTTAAAAACCATGAAGTGTCATTGCCAGCCAGAGCGAACGGTCCTTGTAAGTATAGTTTTCACCTCACTTTGTTGTTAAACAATGGACTCGTTTCTTAAAATAGTTTTATTGGAACTCGGTTTTCAGTATATGATAGATCCAAGTAGTGGATTATTCAGTTGTGACTAAGTCTGACAGATTTAATTAATAACGTCAACACACTGTCAGCAGGTAAAACAAAATGTGGATCTATCATGAAGTGAAAACTATAATTCCTAATAGACTTATATCTGCCTTTCTGTTTTAATTTCAATGTTTAATACACGTACTAGAATTCCTGGTGACAAAAACTTTGATACAAAATGATATGAATATCTTTTGTATCTGTAAGAAAAAAAATGTGTATGAGGTAATGTCATCCATCCTTTTCAGGGACAATTAAACATCTTCTTGTTTGGATCAAAGACAACTTGTTGAAAGAAAGACCTGAGCTTTTTGTTCAAGGGGACACAGTGTAAGAAAGTTTTTAATTTACTTCTGTAAGAAATAGAATGTGTATGTAAAAATATGTATTTTGTAAGAAAGTATTCTTAAATTGGAAATTCAGAAAAAGTCACATTAGGAGATTTTTCTGAAATCCCTTCTTATTTCTGAATTTCAGTTTTAAGAAAATGTTTTTTTTTCTTTCTTTTCTACAATTATTTTAGTTATGTTGGGTCAAAATGTGAAATAAATGAAAGAATGATGCAGTAAAATTATTTGCAACTGTCTCATCAACAAGAAGACAATTTTTTTCACAATTAAGGTGTTGTAATGTGTAAGAAAAGTGATGTGAAGATAACTGTTTTCCAGGCGGCCAGGGATTTTAGTGTTGATCAATGATGCAGATTGGGAATTGATGGTGAGTTGTGGTGTTCTGAAAATATTTGTCCCAAAATGTCCTGGTCAAACTAACTAGTTGGTGCTACTCATGTTATACCAATGTATCATCTGATATTTGACTGTATTTCTTTCACTCTACATTTGTTTAATTAAGAATGAACAAATGTATATAAAGTCTAAATGAAATTGTCACATACAATTGTAGTTTTGATGTGTCATGTAAAAAATAAGAGAATTGTGTTCTTTATTATCAGTAAAAGTTTGCTTAATAGTTACTGGGTTATATAAACTTTCCTTAGTCAAACATTGTAGACTTTGTGCTATTACTTACATATTTTATCATATTTTGTAGTTTTGGTAAAGATGAGTATGACACAAACTTGGTGCACAGTTACTCATTGGGTTAAATTTGAGTAAAATCAATTTGTCATGAATGCACTAGAGCAGCTGAGGTGATACCTACCACTGTCACAATAGAAATCTCACTTAACACAACTTGATTTTGAAATCCAATTACACATAAATACATTGAAATGCACTTCTTTTTGTTATTATTTGGTGATCAGTAATAACATAGTTATATCTTCCTACCTTCAAATCATTGTTTAAAAAAATCTGCTGTTTTTGATCATTTCTTTTATTTTACCATGTTTAATGGGAGACATTGCCTCACCTGTGTGTATGTTGGAGACACTTATTTCTTATTGTCTGGAGCTTTTATCTTTTGATGAAATGATATATTAGCTGGTTTTCATATAGATCAACAGTCTGGAGTCCTACATTTTAGTAGGTTACAAGGGTTTGCATGATCCTGTGACATTAGCTGTGCTATTATGTCAGCTTATCTATCTTAATGTAACCCTTAACCTACCTTTACTGTGTATATATGTATATATATATAAAGAAGAAAATATAGTAAAGTTCATGAATTTATTTTCAAAAAATACTCTGTCCTCAGTTGATGTACAAATAAGAACTCTCTCACACCTGTCTAAGGTAGATTTATCTATAGACTCCCTGTAGATTGATGGGGTTGAATTTCCTGAAAATTATGGGTGCTACAAAGATCGGCATATAGTATTTGGTGGGTGAGACATGTCACGCTCTGTTGACCTAACTGCAGTCTTTTGGCCTGGAGGGTTTTGTCTTTACGGATGATCTATTTGAACCTTGTGTAAGGACACCAGAGTGGGTTGGCACATTGCCATATTTATGGTAATGACTCGATCTTTTCAATGGGGGAAAATTGTGAATTTTACAGAATCTGATACTGTAGTTTTTAAGTCTTAATTTCTTAAAATAAGAGCAATCATTTTGAGTGATGGCAACAAAATTGAAAAGCAGAATACCTTATAGTTCTATGCTATGCATTTGAAGCACCACAAATGTTATGCAAAAATATAATTTTTATGGTTTTAAAATAAGGTATCTGAAAGTTTTTGCCCATTGAAAAGATGGAGTCATTACCATATTTCCTACCAGAACATTAGGACTGATGACAGACACATGTGACAGGGAAAGTGAATCTTAATGTCATGTTGGAATGTAAGGGGATGGGGCTTTATTGGTCTCCAGGTTGGATACCATGGAGATTGTAGATGAAGAGAGTTATTGAGGGTATGGAAGTATGTCATCTAATGGCAGCCCAGCATGCTTTAGTATTATATGAATTTTTGAATTGTGGATGTTGAAAAAAATCAATTACAAGATGGTGTGTATTTTATGAAAAATTGTTTAACATTATTTTTATGAAGATAAATGATAATCATTGTTCTTTTTGTTTCTTTTTTTAATAGGGTGAGCTGAATTATGAACTTAAGTCAAAGGACAGGATAGTATTTATATCCACTCTACATGGAGGGTGAATAGTAAAAATGTCTTTATGTTGGCAAGCTGAACCAGAAGATTTGTGCTGAAAGGAGAAGATATGGGAGAAAATTTTTGAAAACAAAAATGATGGATTTAACCACCAGACTTTGGTCCTATGGCATGTCAAAATTTGACAATGTATGAACTTGAAGCTGGACTTGAGCAGAAGGGAGGTGATGTGGGAGAAAATTCTTCCAGTCATAATAATGGATTCAGCCACCAACATTTCACTAAAGTGTAGAAAAGGATGAATTCAGTAATACCCAGATTCCTATATGTCTCCAGTGTTTCTACACAGAAGGGTTGGAAGCTGGACAAAGAGTTTTCCCCTTCTTTGATAGCTAGGACCCACGAGCAGATACTGTTTGTCCTGATCTCATTGAGACCATTTCCAGACCTATTGTACTAAATTTGGATTTATCTGTCTCCCAGGGGATTCGTACTAAGCCGCTTAAGCTGAAAGCAATTTAGCGAGAAACCCCTTGGAGATAAAGAAATAAAAAACAAACTGCCAAAAATGGCTGTGCTGAGTGGCATTAACAACTTTATCTGCTGGTCAGAATTTCAATAAAATCTATATTTCATTTGGTTTGTGAAGATGGCTTATTTGAAATTTTGTTTTTTTCTGTGTTTATTTTTTCCTTTCAAGGTTTTATTATCTGTTACCGTGTGTTAAGCATCGTCTTTGAGGGACATCATTAAAGGAATGTCGTAAAGTAACGAGATCACATTTTGTGACAGTAATATGCAAATCAAATTTTGCCCCGCCCATCACCATGGTAACAAAGCTGGGACGTGTTGTTAGACCGTCTTTCAATGGTTAAAAATCAGATATCTCATTTCCATGTATCTCATACTTGAGCATACGTTTGAAACGTTTGTCTTATCATAAGGCCTTCTGCTTAACTGAAATTGGGGGTGTTGACGATGTTGCGCTAGCTCCAAGATGAAGTACCATCATAATTCCTTCTTTATCTGAGTTAAAAACAACTTGATGAATCAAAAGTTTTTTTTTTTTTTTTTTTTTTTTTTTTTTTTTGTCCAACTATCGGCGGATTACCGACTTTTTGGGAGCCAAAAATATCTATGGTCCCCTGGACCCCACGCCATATTTCCCAAATGGCAGTCTCTTCCTTGTATTGAACACCATAGTTGAGTTCTGAATATCTCGCGGCCTACCAAGGAAAATAGGGAGATACCTTGTATATTCCAATTATAAAAAAACTTGCACAAAATGTGCCTTTATTAATCCTTTCAGTGTTAAATAATCACAGTATTGTTCCTATACGTTTTTAAACCTGCATTACAATGGGCGGTTGTGACTAGCATAAAATCGGGAAATGTCGAGGAGTGTGGTAGAGGTACCGATAAAACAATCTGAGATGCTCTTTCTTATCCCTAGCGGAGGTTAAAAAGTGCAGATCATAAATTTGCATGTATTTTTCGAGTAACAATGATTTTGCAGATCTGCAAAATTAACATAAAACAATATACTTGTCATTTCGGTGGTGTATTTAAGAAAATTAATATGCGTACTTTTCTAGGAAGAAATGTACATACAAGGATAAAGAGAAAAAAAACTAATGACATTCAGAAAATTTGCCCCCCCCCCCAAAAAGAAAAAAAAAAAAAAATATATATATATATATATATATATATATATATATATCTGACTTGGTTCATTGCGACAAACAGGTAGATGAGTAACCGCGAGGGGTGGGGGTGGGGTCGCCCATTTGGCCATTCTTAAACTAATGGCCTATCTCTTGTCTTAAAAATGTAAACAGTAATTTGTTGGAATTTTTGGTTATGGGTCCCGAAAAAATGGTATTTTAGATGGCGAACGGTGCCATTTGGTACGGTATAGGACTATGTTTCATCTAGTCAAAATTATAATTTCAAGCGGGGACCATTGGTGTGATTTTTTTTTCAGAAACCGAAGGGGGGTGCGTCAGGGGTCGGGACCCCCCTCCCCTCCCCTCCACTGAAGGGAACCACCCTAGTTACCTGTCTTAGTTGTTCCAGGGCACATTGTGTGCGCGGTGGATCTTCGGTTTACCTTGGCAACTGACCACTCCATGAACCAAACACCGCGTCCACTGGGCTGGGGGATGGGTGGGTCAGTCGTACATATCCTTCAAGCACTGATGTCCATACACAGTTCTCGTATATCGTCATGGCAACAAGAATTGCGTTTGGACAATCAAGGCATGAATTCGTGATCACATCCCCCTCACAGCAACCGACTCCGGCAACATGAAAACTGTGCTGTGCCTTCAGCGTTAAGGCGAAACTGGCTGGAGTCATTTATAAGCAAATATTTACATAATATTGTAAAAAATATAAAACATTGGTTAATATGAAATTATTGCATTGAAATTAGTATGATAACTGATGTCAGTCTACTCCGAAATTATTCTGTGAAAACTAGTTTTACTCTATCCACCCGCCCTCAACATAGAGGAATAGAAAGTAAAAAAAGGCAAATGTTATTCAAACACATGGAATCCCAATAATTTCTTTTCGTGCAAAATATGGTAAAAAAGTGACAATGATTTATGTTTATATATTGTTCGTTTCTTTGATGTTGAACTCGGAATACTAAAATGAATTTTCAACAATAGATGCACGTATAAAAACCGTGATTTACGAATGCTGTCTAAAATTACCCCTGAATTTGTACACTGAAATATAGTTTAACTTGTATATATGTTATATTGCTTACAGCTTATGGAACGACTTAGATTTACAGCGCACCTGTTTCAACGTCTTGTGTGTCCTCTAAAAGTCATGGCTCCCCTCTGCTATATTCATCACACTGGGGATACACACTAACCTGTTAGGGAAAAGTACCGATTAATGTGAAATCTTGGATGAAAATATGTCGCAGTCGACCAATACGCTGCAAATAGAGTAGATTCCCAGTGACCAGCGCTTCATCGTCGTGTGTTCTGTCGGATCTGCTACAGCTGTGTGAAGGAGGTTTGCAGGCTTGTGGTGCAACGGACGCAGAACATAACCCGAGATGTCTCGTGTGTTTGCTACAAGCCTTGTCTGTGCCTTGCTCCAAGCAACTTCTGTCTTAAATACTGAAGGGAACAAACCAGTTTGTCTTCTCCCCCCATGTCGCCGCGATTGTCACAGGTGCAATCAAGTGTCTCATGTTGAGGCGATCTCAAACAAAAACAAAGTCTGCGATATGAGATGCTGTAAAAACAAAAGGTCACAAAGAATATCACCTTCAATCAACACTAAAATATTAATTAAGTGTTACCTTGTCGGGACCGTATCGAAGGTGATACGACGCTTTGATCAACACCAGCTGAAAATGGCTCTCACCGTGTCGTCAGCTGCGGCTCATTGCCGTCTGCGAGACTCGCGATTTTCCACGTGGCGGTCATTTTCAATCGTCCCATTTGAAAAGATACTGGACATTTCGATGATTATCTAATCTTGTAGTTCGCCAGGCGGAAATTTGATTTCTAAAGCGAGAAGTTTTCATGATTGCGCGGCCTTGTAATTACCTGGTCTCGTCCGACAACAAGTTACCTGTTTAAGGCCTATTCAGAACTTGATCCCTATCTTGCTATACTTTTGTCTCGCGCTTGAACTTGTAATCTCCCTTAACAAAATCAAGATAAACGCTTTTGTATAGTTTTATCGAGATATTTCTTTGCATACCACTTTGAAGTCCACCAAAGATAAAACACCAGTGCTTCCATTACATCATATGCGGGGATATTTTACAAAACGTAAAATAGACCGCATATTCTTACTACATTATCTCGAAAAAGCGTGAAAATGTTGTTTATATCCAAGATGATTAAAATTTAGCCAAATATTTTCGTTTTGACAAAGATCTATAGGTGATCCCTTTCTACCAGTGATTTTGAATATTGGGAGAATTCAGTGCGCATAAAGGGGAAAATGGAATGGAAAACAAGGAATATGTCACAGTCCGCCTGCGCTTTTCCAATCGTTTCCTTCAGCTCATCACTCAGACTATATACAAAGAAATAACATCATGGGATAGGCCGAATGCCATACCGGTGTATAAAGAAGTATATATTCATATTTAAAGATTTCTCCTTATAAATAGCAGCATCTTCGCGCAAAGCCCATTGTAATATCATTCATTCGTGAGATATGTTTATTGAAATAAAACTAAGCTGGAAACATTGAAAATGAACTCTCAGGATGTGATAAATGAAAAAAAGAATGATCTGATAAACTGGTCATGAAATACTCTTTTTTTACATGCAGAAGAACACTGGATGTTTTACTTAAATGTATGCAAAATAGAACGCTCCTTACAGGTAAAAGGCGAACGTGTCATTTAAAGTATCTAATCGTCTATTACACCATTGAACCCGAGTCTGGATATAAAGGTAAATTGACCAACTAAAGAGCTCATTATACCAATACCACATTACAACATACAAAAGAGGAAAACCATTAACAGACATGCATCAACCTGTTAAGAATAAGCGGTTGGCGATTTTTCTTTCAGAGACACTTAAAAGAGTACACTTCATGGGGCGACAGGTAAGCTATATGGCTGTGCGCCTCTTCGCGTGCAACGTAGCGTGCTCAGGCGGCGGAGGCACAAAGTGGCTAAATGGCGGGATAAATGGCCATATGATCAGTGAGAATAATTACTATTTAGTGCCGCGTTCTCTAATGAGAAATTATGGACGGCGAGACGTGCTAGTCGGACAATCTACCGGCTCAGTCCATCATTGAAACGATTGTATCTATCCGTGAATTAGACTGAGGTTATTAAGATACAGTGCATTGCCGCCAAATCGTCCACCATGAGCGACAGGACTTTTTAAATATCGTGAATTTTCAACAAGGCGGCGAATTTCAGCATTTGGAAAAGAAATTTGGAAGAAATTTAGAAATAGCTTGCCCAGTAGCAAACCCCATCTCAGTTATGATGAAATAAATCGAATGTTCAAATTCCATAAGCTTAACAGTATTAAGGAATCCCTAATATTGATAGTCTGTGAAATTGTCACTATATATTTTCATTTTTTTAGACAACACACAAAACATTTGTGGACCGAGTGAAGTCCTAAATGTTGTTGGTAAAGCAACGTTTCTTTGATTGAAGATGTAGTACATATAGCAGTCACGCCAGTGTAGGCAAATGGACGAGAAGACCCATTCCTTTTAGCTTTTTTCTTTTGTTTTTATCTTGGTCGGCTGGTTGCTATCAAATGCGGCTATCAAATGTGTTGCTATCAAATGCGGAGTTAATGCGACACAATACGGTGTTTTATATATAAAATAGCCACACAAATACACACGCACACACACGTCTCCTAATTTTAATTCAGGTCAGCTAAAAGTTAAACATTATGATCTTCCACAATTTTCACTAGCATTCAAGCTGTAGATTTTTACATAATATATACTTTTTCAAAAAAAATAAATAAATATTAATAATAATAAAAAGAAATACGCTAAACAAAGTGCAAAAAAGACCTGTGCCAAAAAAGATTATACAAGTAAAGGGGTTAAAAACAGAACGTTATTTGAATAAAACGAATCACAATTGAAAATACCTATTCGTTTTTGAAAG